TCAAAGGCAATACCCAAGTAGTCATAGCTCTGACAGCAGGAAATTTGCTGTCCGTTTTCGAGGTCTATGTTATCTGACTCATTTCCAATACAAAGATATTTGGTTTTTGTTGTATTGATATTCATTCCCCAGTCGTTATATTTCTTCTATCAGTTTTCTAAGCATGTACTGCATGTCTTCTCTGTCAGTCGCTAGTACTACCTGGTCATCAGCAAACTGGAGTGTATATATACATTCATTACTAAGCTCTATACCCATCCTATGCACCTTTCTTTTCCATCTTTCCAATGCTGCTGCAACATATATCTTGAATAAGGTTGGTGAGATACAGCATCCCTGTCGCAAGCCTTTGGTAACCAGGAATTTTTCCGTTAGATATTTTCCTATTTTTATCTGTGACTTTGAGTCTCTATATAGTTCTTGTACAGCATTTATCAATGTTTGGTTGATGTTAGATCTTTTCACGTTGTCCACAATTTGTTAAGGGATGTTGTCATATGCTTTTGCAGATCTACAAAAGTAATATGAGTTTCTAGATTCTTAGCCGATCTTTTTTTCTATTATTTGTTTAAGACAAATATATCATTATATACTGATATTAAAGATTAAAGGCTTTTATCTTTAACAACATTTTTATTTATGGTTCAATCTTCATCATTTTTGGACTTCTTCTTCTTCTTTCTTGTTAGCCTTCTATCGTCTATGTTTGGACATAGGCCTCTTCGATACTCCTTCCATCGGTCTTTATCCTGAGCAACATATTTCCAGTTTGTTCCGGCTATTCTTTTAATGTCATCAGCCCATCCCATCTGTTGTCTTCCTCTTGGTCGTTTACTTTCGTAAGGTCTCCAATGTTGTATTGTAGTATTCCAACGTTGGTCTTTTTGTCTTGCAGTGTGGCGTCGCTGAAGCTCCATTAAGTCTGGCAATTTTTGTTGTTATGTCCTCGACTTTTGTTTTGGATCTTACCCAGTCGTTCCTCCTTTTATCTGACAGTCGTTATACCTAACATTGCTCTTTCCATTGTTATTTCTGTTGTGGCTAGTTTATTCTATGTTGTCTTGGTTAGGGTCCAGGTTTGACATCCATATGTCACGATAGGAAGGATGCATTATTTGATCACTTTGCTCCTCAAATATTAGGGTATTTTGCGTTCATAAGTATCCAACTAAATTTTCCAAATTCTGCCACGCCAGTCTTGCTCTTCTAGTAATTTCTAGAAAAATTTTCTTTGGACAACCAACAGAAAACCATTCCAATTAATTCACCTAACTCAATTATCACATAGGTATCTAAGCTTTTTATGTATTATGTAAGGAAAAACAAATTATTTTTCTAGGATTTTTAATTAAGCATGCCCATTAAAAAGTATTGTTCTTCTTCTTCTTCTACAGCTTTTCTGTTTTCAGTGGTCGCCATGCCTTACTCTTCATACTCATTTCTGTCCATCAGGTCTTCTTCATCTAAACCTTTTTCTCTCAAGCTTTCTGCGACACAGTCCTTCCATTTTCTCCTCGGCTTTACTCTACCTCTTCTTCCATTAACTTCTTACAGATCTATCGTTCGTTTCACATAGTTTTTATTTCTACGTCTGACATGAACAAACCATTGCAGTCTTTGTTTTTGAATATTTTTTGAGACTGTAGTCATCCTGGCTCTTCTAGTCTTGCCCAATAACCACCGTAACATTTTTATTTCAGCTACCTCAATCTTCTTTTACGGGATCTTCTTTACAGGCCATACTTTACCGCCATATACCAACACAGGTCTCACCACACTCTTGTATATTTTTTCTTTTCTTCCTTCTATAGTATTCCCAAAATTCTCTTCCAGTTAAACCAACCAGTCTGTATCCTGTAGGCAATTTCTTCATCTAATGTCACATTTTTTATTATGTACGAGCTAAGGTATTTTAAATTCTCCCACTCGTTTTTTTTCCAAGCTATTCTATGTGCCCAACCATTCCTCTTCCTCTCAACCACATATATTCCGTTTTCGACCTGATAATCCTAAGTCCTCCGTCTTAAATAGCCCTTTTTCAACACGTCAACTTCTCCTCCAACATTTCTTTGCAGTATTTTACTAACACGATCATCAGCAAAGAGCATGAACCAAGAAGCTTCCTTACTTTCTCTGTCAGTAAATTCGTAATAAGATTAAAAAGGTAGGGACTCAGTGAAGAGCCTTGGTGCAAACCAGCTTAACTTAACTGGAAAACTTTCGGATCAATCCGACACATGTCCTTATTTTGGTTGTAGGTTTTCTCATACATATAGTTTACGAGACTTACGTACTTCCCAGAAAGCCATTTCTCTCTCTTTTTTTTGAACCTATTCTCTATCCTTCCATTGTTGGATATAGGTCTCCCCCAGTTCTCTCCATCTTTCCCTATCTTGAGCTTTCTCTGCCATGTGGGACCTCCTTGTTTCCTGATGTCATCTTTCCACCTCATCTGTGGTCTGCCTCTTGAATCTCTTTGCATTGTATGGACGCCACTTTCCGATGGCATTGTTCCATCGTCCGTCTTGGAGACGTTCATTGTGTCCAGCCCATTTCCATTTCAGTTTTGCTGCTTGTTCTATCGCGTCTACTGTCTTTGTTCTGGTTCTGATCCACTGGTTACGTTTTCTATCTCTAAGTGATACACCCAACATTTGTCTCTCCATCGCTCTTTGTGCCTTCCTTATCCTATCCAAATTGGCCTGTGTAAATGTCCATGTCTGTGCTCGTAGGTGAGCACCGGTATTATACAGGAGTTATATACCTTGCTTCGTAAGTATAGAGGGATTGTTTGATTTTTTAGAACGTAAGAAAGTTTGCCGAACGCTGCCCATCCCATTCTTACTCGTCTCGATATTTCGGCTGTTTGATTTCTCTGTTAGCTCTGATTGCTTGTCCTAGATAGATATACTCATTTACCTGTTCTATTTTTTCTGTTTGTATTTTTATTGCCTCTTGGTCTTCCGTGTTTGTCATTACTTTTGTTTTGTTGAAGTTAATTTTTAGGCCTTTTTGCAGTGATTTTTCATGAAGTTCATTCAGCATTAATTCCAGTTCTTGTCGTTCCGAGGAGATCAGGGTATATCATCCGCATATCTAAGGTGATTTAGGTATTTTCCGTTAATACATATTCCTCTGTTTTCCCAATCTGTTGATTTTATTATATCTTCGACGGGTCAAGGTAAACAGTTTAGGTGAAATTATATCGCCTTGTCGGACTCCTCGTTTAACTTTTATATTATCCGTTATTAATTTGTCGTCCAGAATTACGGTCATGGTTGCGTTTTGGTAAATATCATGTATCAATTGTCGGTATCTTGAATCTATTCTACTATTGACCAGAGCTTCTTCATCCGCCCAGTGTTCAATGCTGTCGAAAGCCTTTTCATAATCTACGAATGCTAAGTACAGCGGAAGGTTGTATTCATTGGTTTCTCAATTAAGATTTTAAGCGCATGTAGATGGTCGATTGTGCTGTATCCTTTCCTGAATCCGGCCTGTTCCACTGGTTGGTAGTTATCAAGTTTATAGGTTAGTCGGTTGTTTATTATTCTTGTGAAGGTTTTATATAGTTGTGACAAAAGGGAAATAGGACGGTAGTTGTTTAGGTCTGTTCGGTCTCCTTTCTTATGTATTAAGATTGTGTTGGCATTTCTCCATTGTTTAGGTATTTTACCTTCAAACAGACATTTGTTGAACAGTATTTTTTGCATTTTTTTTATCGTGTCTCCTCCTTCTTTTAGCAGTTCCGCCAGTATTTTGTCCTCACCGGCCGCTTTATTTCTTTTCATGTCGTTTATGGATTTTTCGATTTCATCTTCAGTTATTTCTGGTAATACCTCTGAGCCAACATTTTGTATTTTCCTCGAGAGATTCTGTTTAGATGATAGTGGTGGGTCATTTTTAGAACTGTATAGGTCTGTGTAATATCTTTCTGTGATTTTTACTATTTCTCCTAGATCTCTTTCTTCATTGTTCTCAGCTTTAAGCATGATTAGTTTTCTTTTTCCTATATTTGTCTTTATTGTTTTTAAACTTTGTTCTTCTCTATGATTTTCTTAATGCGATCTTCTTGGTATTTCTTTAAATCTTCCTTTATCTGTTTTCTTATGGGTTTTGTTCAGTTCTGTTGTTATTTGTATCGTTTAATTCGGTCTAGTTGCAAATCCTTTAGCTGTGATATGTCACACCACTGTTGTGGCGTTAATTTTGATTTTGGCTCTAACAATTTTGTGATCACTTTCTACGAAAATCATGTTTCTCTCTCTTACATCTCCATAACTCTTGTCTAGAAACTGTGTCGTATGCCTATTTAAGATCTATAAATACCAAATGTAGCTCTATTTCTTCTCTCCGTATTTCTCTATTAACTGTCTTAAAGCAAACAAGGCATCCGTTGTCCTCTTTTCTGGCATAAATCAAAACTGTTCTTCTCCTATGGATGTCTCTCTCTTTAACATTCGCTCTACGTGGAGCACTAGTTGGTTTTCATCCTCGAAT